TTTCTTTAACAAGGAAGTGCAGAGGGAACATGTACCTTCCACCCTCATTCCCGAGGGTCAGTCACAGTCAAGGCTGACACAGGGCAAGTGGCAGAAAGCCAGGCAAAACCACAGTATACTGACCCCTTCCCAGAAGATTGGCAGTATCTTGATGCACTCCAGATAAGTACCAGTGACATGTCTACCTGAACGCAGTTAAAGCTAACCTTGGCACAGTTCTTGAAAATATTGCTATTTATTTTGAATCATTTGTAAAAACCTTTTAGCATGTTGGAAGGACATCTCATATTATGAAGCCTCCACCCTGTGCATTACAGGTCTCTCAGTTTATTTTGACCAACACCTTTATTTATACTTATTAATCAAGGGGCCTGACAAGCTGCTGCAAGTAAAGCTGCTTCTGATTCAGTAGTTTGGTAGGAGGGTCATCTGAGGATTAGAGTCTATAAACAGCCTTTATGAAAAGATTTTTTTTTTTCTCATCTAATTGCCCTGGAGAATCCTGTCATTTCAATCTGTCATTGTTGAATTTTATTTTACTGCAATATTTTGAAATTAAGCAAAAAGTGTCTAGTTAATGGTTTTGGCAAGCTCTCTATTACTTCATAGCTTCTTGAAGTCCCACAACTCTTAGTCTTTCGTGTTAATTAACACTCCTAATTGACCTTCGGTGCTCCCTAATTTCTCCCCAAAGAATTTAAAAAAAAAGGCTTCTAAATTCTTTTCTGCAATCAGATTGACACCAAATTGCTGGTCTACAGATCATCCCGGGCTTAACAAACTTCTTGTTTTTTTCAGTTTTTTATTTTTCTACCACTGAATTCCCCACTGGAAATTACAGTGCATTGAACCATAGAGCTAGAATTGATTGTGCACATAAAAAATCCTGAAACAACAGAAGAAAGAAAAGAACTTACTAGAATTCTGTGGTAAAATCAGAACTCCAGTGGCAATAAAACTCTTACCCAATTTGAACTCACCTGCCCTTGATCATTAAGAAAATATCTGATGTTCCTCCACTTTCCTCTGATGAGAGAAGGAAGTAGATTTTCCTTCATTTAGCCTACATCAAAGCATGGTTATAGATGTCAAAGAAGATTAATTCCAGTCACCAATATTTTTATAAGGCATTCTCTATTCCATCTTCTTTATATCAATTTCTTATGCTTTTTGTTGAATATTGGAAAGCTAAGACTAATGAACCCTGTCTAAATTGCTTTTATTTTTAATTAATTTTTAATTAAAGCTTTGTGTATCACACATTACAATTCTAGCAATCCTAAACACATTTTTTACTATATTCTAAAATATAGAAGGCGATTTTCTTTTTTGAGGTGTTATGAGAAACTGTAATCAGTTCTTTCTACTGGAGTTTATGGAAAGCATTTCTAAAAATGCAAATTCTATGTTTTGAGACTTGAAAGTTGCAAATAAATATTAATCTTGGAGCTTACTTTTACATTCTGAATTGAAATAATGACATTTTAAGCACTTAAACCTTTCCTAAGAGCAAGATAGGTAAGCATATACTTTGTTTCAAGTATCCTAATAATGTTGATTCCATTGGTCTTTTCATATGTTTCATGTTAAGCATATGGGTATGTACTTTCCTGAAATGCTGTATGGTATTTAGCAGAATGAATTACATCCCAACACTAACATTTCCTCAAGAATCTTAATAATGTAGGAAGTATCAAAAATAAGCTTTCATTTTCAAGATAAACAAACAAAGTAATTTTTTGTGAGCATTGCCTTTTTATTGCTGCATCCAGCTGTAAATCATGTCATGAAAGAAGAAGACATCTTTAAAATGCATTTTTTGAAAAACGGTGCATTATTCTCTCCTGAGCTGTTGAGACAATTTCCTGCCTAGATCTGTTGCCCCATTAATTTTAGAGTATAAGAAAAAGTCACTGTGAGCTATAGGGAACAATTTTGGATTTGCTGTATGGACATATATCACAACAAATTTGCCTACAGTAGTTCTATGGATGCTGTTTAACAAACTCTTATTTTCCTTATTTTGGGATTAATGTCCTCCTTCCCTCAGATTTGCACAGTGACATAGCCTTATGCTACACATAAGGAGGATTCTTTTCAGTGTGTAAAATTTGAAATCTGAATTCAATTACAGTAACAAGAGGAACTCTTTCTAATGAGTCTCAAAAAGTCCTGCCTAAACATATAAAGCTCTCCTGTAGAGAAATAAATTGAGTGCACGGTGTTAGCGTAATAGCAAGGGCTGAGACATAGCTTTGCCCTACAGTTTTATGGGATAATATTTTAAAAGGTATGCAGAGATGTATGACTTTTGGGGGACAGCTAAAATTGTTTTCATATTTCTAATATTGTTTTCATTAGAATGTTTAAAGTATGTTTATGGTATCAGATTGAATTCTAAGGTGTTACCAAATCATCCAGGATCCCCAATGCTTAAGTATATTCCCTAGCGTCCCTACTTATCTTCAGAGAAAAAAAATGGGAGGAATGTGCTTTGTTTTAAATCATATAATCTGTATTCTGTCATGTACTTCATCTCCAAGGGAAGGTATCTGGGAACTCACTCTGCTGTTTTTATTTATCCTGCTAGTGTAGTATATAGATGAGAGGACTAAGGTCCAATGGTGTTAAAACAAGACATGAAATATTGATTAATTCTTGTTTTAAAATTCCTTTTTCCTCCTGAGTATAGCAAGTTTCAGACACTGCTGTCAATATAGTACTCTCCAATAAACCTCCATTATCTGGAGGTTCCTGATCTTCATAGTGTTCTTATAAATGATTATTATGATTCTAAATGGCTTTAAAAGCTCAAGGCTAGTGTTCTTCTGGTGTAAGAGCAGAAAGCAAGTTAGAAGCAATGCAGATTTTTATCATGGCTGAGTGTTACTCAAAAATAACATGAATTGGATTGGGAATTCACTTTGCTAGACAGTAACAGAACATTCTGTTTGAAGAAATGAAGATCATAACAGGACAGATAAACCATTGTACAGTTTTGCGGATATAAAAGTGCCAAGTAAAGAAGCACAATTATAGCTGGTGTCCACTTAATGAAACACAGGTATTTGAAAACCTACCTTTTGTTTTCACTTTTCATTCTTCGGTGCTAAGTTAACCCTTTATTTATTATTACCAGGATGGTCCTTTACAAAAGCAGTTAAACTTAGGAGTTTCCCAAAGGAAAAGGACATTTCAGGAAAGGTAGGGAAAAAAGTTTACACCAGCTAACCCACGAAAGATGATAGACATGGGCAAGAAAGAGAAGATGTAGCCTAAACTACTTTCAGTGTTCTTGAGTACAGTAAAACTCTCTGGGAGTTGAGGTAATTGTTTTTCAATTAAAAAAAAATGTTGTGTACTGGAGTTTCCTTAGGAAAGTAAATCCATTGGAGCTTTTCTACTATCCATAATAAAAGCTATTGATCAGAGAAGGAATATGAATCTTGGTCGTGTATGTGGCATGTAATGTCATTATAAAGGTTGTACAACTACTTTTTCACCAGTCATCCTAATTAGTACTTAGTCAAACCTCAACAAGAAAGATCAAGGAAGTAACACAGAATCTGAGCCAAAAGCCAGTAACTGGGAGATTTACCTGGGAGACAGGATAATGTACTACATTCTCGCTCTGAACCAGCAAGAAACACTTGAGGTTGTTTCTTCTGTCTCGCAGGACAGTTGGGTTTTATAGGCTGCATAAGTTGCTGTATGATGGTGTGTTTTCCACATGAAAGCTTTATTCTTACCCTGCAATGAAAATGGTTTTGGAAGATTTTGTTGATGGGGATAACTGATTCATACATAGTTCTGCTTGTGAGTTCTTCTGCAACAAAACTTAACTGTGTGCAAACCTTACACTACTTTAGCTTATGATGGAGAACAGACTGCTCCCTGCTGTACCCAAAAAACAAGAGCTAAAAGATGTGGCATTAAGCTAAATTATCCATTCCTATTACTCACTCAGCTCTCTCAAACTGAGCCAAAGTTGGGGCTCTATTAAGATGATTTTATGACTTCTGTGATATATTTATTTCTTTGGAAATTTGACAAGTTATTTATAATTTTAAGACAATTATTTTCATTTATTTCAATCAAACTGAAAGCAATATATGCACAAAGCTAGACTTCAATCAGTTCATAAGCAATGAGAGAAAAGTGTGTTCTTATTACTTACAAGATTTTAAGGCAGTAAGTCTTGCTTGCCCAGGTTACATGAGTAGCTCTGTTGTCTTCCAGTTCCCCACTGGGAACATTTGTGTCAGCAGACTGAATGGGATTTGGTCTGTAATTAACAGAGCATATATTTGCTCGCATAGCCAGCATGAGAGCCAAATCCTTACTCATCACTTGTTGTCACTCCTCCAGGTAATACTTTAGGACTGATTTAATGCACCTAGTTATTTGATCAAAGGCTATCAATCTGGGCACTGTCCTCTTGTGTTTTTCTCTCTGCTGTGCTATCTTTAAGAATGATAGCACAAACTTATGTAAAGGGATATGCACAGAGTAATGTTTTTGAAAGTCTTGTATTTAATGGTTTTTTATCCAAATGTCCTTAAAAGTTTAATTGTTGCATGAATTTTCAGGCTGAGACTAGTCCACTGCAAAGTAAGGTTTTGCTTGTGGAAGAGGATGGTGCATACTCGCACACAGCACAAACTCTGCCAGTAGTTTGCTTTTTGGTGAAATTTATCTCATTTTACACACTCTACTAATTGCTACCCTTCACATGTAAAACCAGATTATTTTCTGTCTTATGGGAGACGCTTTGTTTGGCTTCAGATATTTAACACGGTATCTCTTTTGTGGACAATTGCTTGAGGCCCCAAGCTGGGAAGAATGAGAGCATATCTATAAATAATTCAATATAGTTGTATTGTTTTGACAGATTGTCAAGTTGGTTTATGCCTTTTGTCCCAGGCAATAGATTATACTTCTTTGGCAAAGTGTTGCTAATTTCTCATTGCAATTGTTTTGTGTATTTTGTATTTTTACAGGGTCCAGTCAGGTTCATATCTCAGCACGGGTTGGTTCACCTTAATTTTGGCTATGGATGCCTGCTATGGAATTCACGTCTATGGGATGATAAATGACACCTACTGCAAGTAAGATCACAGGAAATTATTTTCATGCATCTACAATTCTGATGTCTTGTCAAAATTTCACAATTTATTTTAATATCATAAATCCCCAGAATGGATCAGGCAGTCATTTCCCACTGTTTGGCATTGATGTGACAGTATTGTCAACATATTTAGTCCTGATATGGCATTTACTGTTGATAAAAACATTTACAAAATCTAACATTGGTTGTCATAAGGAACTATTTTTAATCAAAGATTTTTTGCAGTTCCTGAATTACATGGAAGCAGAGTATGTTCATACTTTTCTGACTTATTTCTGCTTTTCTAGTACTTACTTCTACTGCTAAAACAAATCTATAGAGGAAATACTAATATGTTGATTCTCTGAATGCCAAATACACCTAGAAGTGAAAGAAACTTGTTAGCCTAGGATAGTTACCTGAAATTACATTTCACCACCATTGAGAAACCTACTTGAACTTTCTAGGTTATACATGACTTGTTTTGGGTAGTAGCATGTTTCTAATTAGATAAAACAAGTCCTGTAAGCTTTATCGCAGTAAACTGACATAAATTCCAACCAACTACTGCTGGTGACCTTACAGTGACGATTAATCCTGTTGTCAGAAGTGTTAACTAAATACAGTCTTTAGAAGTCCAAGTTAAATGTTTTAATCTACAGTATATGGTATAAAAATACAAAATGTAACTATTCCTCATTCAGAAAACCAGGGAATGTCAAAAACAGTGTATGATATTAGTGCAGATCTACTATTCTGTACCTAGACTGGTTCAAGACTTGCATGTAATCAGTCTGGGGGGTCCTCAGCTCCTAAAGTCCTTGTGCAGACGCTCACTCCTCATTCTCTATTACTCCAGTGTGGGACTCATTCCTGGCAAACCCTAACAAAAAGATTTTGGGATTTGAGTCACAGCTATTTAATTAGGGTATCTTAACATTAGAGACTGACTTTTTAGAACTTGCAGATCTCACTGATTGAGTCATCCAGATGGAATGAACATATGTTGTTCTTTGTTTATGAAAACACATTAGTCTCCCTGAGATGAGGGGTGACAGGACTAAAGTTGTCCTCACAGAGTTCAGCCAGCTGGCATTGCATAGCACTGATGCAAAACCAGTAAACAGCACGATAGCACTCCAGTTTGTTGGCAGCAGAGAATGATGGGTTCCCTTAAAGCTGCAATTCTATATATTGTTCTTATAACTGTCTTATTCAGCCAGTTCAAGAACCAGTTTCAACATTTGGGGCTATCCAATGAGAACAGACTGATTAGGGATGGAGCCCTATGGACTGAGTTCTCACTGGTTAAACAAAATGTGCAGTACCCATACAAGTCAGCCCATCAGCTTCTTACTGACTGATAAGACCAGTGTATGTTGAGAGATACAGTTAGCTTCATTTTCCATAGGAAAAAATAATTGAAATCATGCTCTAATGAAAGCCCTTATACAATTTTGTGAAGGAGCTCAGGTGCTGACACGTAGAAAGGATTTCAGATAATTCACAGAATCACTTATGTTGAAAAAGACCTTTAAGATCACTGAGTCCAACTGTTAACCTGGCACTGCCAAGTCCACCATTAAACCACGTCCCTAAGTGCCACATCTACACATCTTTTAAATACCTCCAGGGATGGTGACTCCGCCACTTCCCTGGGCAGCCTGTCCAGTGCTTAACAACTCTTTTGGTGAAGAAATTCTTCCTAATATACAGCCTAAACCTCCCCTGGCATAACTTGAGGCCATTTCCTCTCAACCTGTCACTCGTTACTTGGGAGGAGACACTGACACCCACCTTGCTATAACCTCCTTTCAGGTAATTGCAGAGCACGATCTCCCCTGAGCTTCCTTTTCTCCAGGCTAAACAATCCCAGTTCCCTCAGCTGCTCCTTTATGAGGAAGAGGCTGTGCTGGTCAAGACTTGTTCGCTAGACCTTTCACTACCTTTGCTGCCCATCTTTGGACGCAGGCAAAGCACCTCAATGTCTTTCTTGTAGTGAGGGACCCAAAACCGAGCACGTTATTTAAGGTGTAGCCTCACCAGTGCAGAGTGAAGTGGGACAACCACTTCTCTAATCCTGCTAGATGCACTAATTCTGATACAAGCAAGGATGCTGATATCCTCTATCGAGAAGCAGTATATATTAATATATATACTTATTGGAAATATATATATATTATTGCAAATAATTCTTGTTTGGTTTGTTTTTTTTTCTCTAGGTCAGAAAGCTTTCGTAAAGTTCCCTATCACTATTACGAGCCAGGAAGAGATGAATGCGAGGAATACTTTCTGCATGAAAATGCTCCATATGGAGGCCATAGGTTTATCACGGAAAAGAAAGTATTTGCTAAATGGGCCAAGAAACACACAATAATATTTACACACCCCAACTGGACAGTGTCTTGATACTGGTTTTCTCAACACTCCCTTAACAGCATATTACAAAAATGTCTCAGTTTACAACAATTTTGCTTACATCTGGCTGGCCTTTCTCAGCCTAGGTAACACTAAACTAAAAGCCAGAAGACAAAGAGGGTGATGGTTCAGCTGTTAAGCAAATTGATCATCTCTGGGAGGCAGACACATTGTTTGTTATTTCTTAGGGTTGTACTCCACACAATGCACTTTATGCTTTAACTGGATTTCATTTCAAGGCAGTAGCAATTAAAGACAGATGAGATTTCCTGTATATACAGGGGCACACAGAGGACATGATGGTCCTTTAAAACTTGTTCATCACCTTACATAATTAAAATTCATATTTGCAGCTGGTATTGGAAGAAATTTTCCACAAAAGAAATATGAGGTAAAATACAGACCTCCAAAGTCCATGAGTGAATTGATTTAAAAAAACACCTGAACACATGCAAGCACCTGCATATATGGTAAAATTAGAGATGAGCTAACCAGGATTCTTGAACTGTACACAACTCTTGCATGAGAAGATACTGTTTAAGGCTCACAATTAGTTCATAACTTCTGAAATGCAACTTCCTTCCACCCTGGTCAGGCTGCACCTGATTGGATTACGTGATTTCTACTTTTGGAGGCAGTTGTCCCACAGTTTAGCTCCAGCAGCATGGCACTTAGCAAAGATTGTGTTTTGCAGTCCATGCTGAACCTTTGGGTGTTTTACCAACCCTACTGTCACTACCCAAGCTGGCTAGTATTGTCTCACAAACATCTCCATTTACTCCAGTTGTGTCTTAGAGTTGCTTCAACATCCAAATACCTGCATTTTGACAGTATTTCCTAGGCAGTCATCATCATTTATTTAAAATCTCCAGTTTCTCCATCTTTAAAAGCAGGGATAGTATCTATCTACCTCACAAGGGAGTTGTGAGGATTAATTTAAATCCATAAAGCACTTTCCTGATGAAGAATGCTACAGAGAATTTATTCTTAACGCAAAAACAATGGTACCTGTCATTTATTCTTGTCTGTTGGGTATTTGAAGAAAGTGACAGTGTGTCTGGATCTGATGATGAATTGTTCTGTGCATCTGCTTTCCTGCTGAGCATAATTTGTAATACGGGGTTCTTTCAGCTTGCATTGCTTCAAATGGAGTTGAAAGAACTCACCCCCTTGCAGTATTATCTGCACATCAAGAGGTAGTTCAAGAATTTTAAAACATACTCATCTCTAGTTGAAATATGTATTTCCAAGCTTACTCTCATAGAATGTTTTCAACTGCAGCAGACTCATTTGTAATATGACCATAATTCAACTATACATGTAAGTTTTATTTAAACTGTATTTAAATTAATGCTTTAAGTTTAGAATGTGTCCTATGAATATTTTAATATCTGGAATGTCAGATTCAACACTGTAATAGCCAATACTGTGAACACTTGAAAGAATTATGTGTGAAACATGACACACAGGGTTTACTCACACTACTTAAACATTAACCAACAGGAAACTTTGTATGCTTTTGTAAATCATGAAAAGGGGAAAGTAAAAAGCTATTTTTACATGTAAGTATTTGTATACTGACTATTTCCTATTGTATATTTGTATATATAAATCTATATTTTATATGTTCATGGCATATATATTCTCTCAGCAGCAGCTGCAACTCTTGGGATGAGGAGGAGATCTCTTCACCAGTGTTCCTCCTCCTGATCACTGGTTTCTTCTTGCTGTTGGTAGGTGATGCCAGGGTATCATCTCTCTCTCCCCTTCTATTTGCTACTGTAAATGCAGATTTCTGATTTTATTTTCAATATAGCTCAGCTTTCACTGCTTACTTTAGTGCTGTAAGTATTCATGCTGGCTGTCAGACAGACTGGGACCATGCTTGTGATCCTGTATAAACATCTCTATTTAAATGCAGGCTCCGTCCCATACTTCTTGAGTGACTTGGATGTCTTACCTTTCTGTTTGGAAAAGGAAAACAATAATATTTTCTATTCCCTGTCTTGACTGACTTTCCTGTAAGCTCTTGAGACGGATATTCTCATTTGCAATGTATTTGTATAATGCCTCACAGGAGAGGTGCCCAAAGTGTCTGAAGGCTACAGGCACTGCTATATTATACAAATAATTTGAACTGGCTGCTTCTTGTCCCTGGAGTTTAAAATCAATTGTAGGCTAATATAGCATGGGATAAAATCAAGAGGGGGAAGGCTCATGGATGGATAAGGAGTTGCAGCAGGAAAAGACAGTGAGCTAGATTTAGCACCATATGCATATGCAACTTTTCAGTCCAGATGGATGGCTGGATAGATGAAAAGCTAATAAAAAAAAAAACACATTGTAATGCAGGATTTGAAGAATGCAGGACATGCAGAACCAGGGACAATGTTCCACACATACTGCCCAGAGCAGCCTGGGAAAACCTGTAATTCCTTTGTGGGAAGAGGAGCTGAGAAGGAGAGTATCAGTCAAAATCAGCTTGCATTTAGAAGGTCTTTGGGTTAACAGAATACTACTAAGAAAGTGTTCCACATGGAAGAGCAGTTGGGCTGGGCACATTTACATGAGAAGCATCCTCATGAGGCACAGTCTTTCATCCCAGCAAGTTGTTTTCATATGAAAGGCAGTTTTTAATCCTGCAAAAGTTTTTAAGATAATTAAGACTTGCCAGATCGCCATAAAACTCTTGTAAAATATGTGCTTCATACTGAAGTTCCTTGTAGAGTGCTTGCACGCTGTATGAAACAATATCTCACGCAAAGGCTGGCTAAGAAAAATACAGCTCTAAGAACAGCTAAGTGTACAGCAAAATTGAGAACATCATTAGAGTGCAGTTGCCACAGAGCATAGTAAAAGTGTTGCTCTTTGCTTGGATTTGCAGTTAGAGCAGATCCACTTTTAGAAACATTGCAGCAGGCTTCATTCACACTAGAGTAAATGAACATCAGTTCCCTTATTTAAATGAGCCTGTCTTTAGCATAAACTAAACACATATTTGCAAGATTTTATTCTATGGGTAAGGAACTGTGACCACAGTGTTAAAGACGATTCTACAAAGAAATTACTTAGTTGAAATCTGTTAAAAATCAGCACTGTGGCAATGAAGAAGGAATCTCAGTACTTGGCTGGGCAGTAAGAGATCTTGATGACCTTCTGAGAGCAGTTTAGACATAAGCTGAGAGTCATTTATTAATTCTTTAAAATAAAGCCTACTACAATTTACCTGAATGTAATCAGATCCTAATTGCTTATTCATTCAAGCAGTCCTCTTTTAATCAACTACTCCTGTGTATAAAACAAGCAGGGAGTTTACCTGAGGTTTTCAAATAGATCTTCACATTCCTGCTAATAGCGGAATACTCTCAAATAATTTGGTGCACTTTTTTTGCCATCAGTCAGCTAAGTAGTCACCAAATGTTTTCTTAAATATCACACAGTATCACAGTATCACAGTATGCTAGAGATTGGAAGGGACCTCGAAAGATCATCTAGTCCAGTCCCCCTGCCGGAGCAGGAACACCTAGATAATGTTACACAGGAATGTGTCCAGGCGGGTTTCGAATGTCTCCAGGGAAGGAGACTCCACAACCTCCCTGGGCAGCCTGTTCCAGTGTTCCGTCATATATAGTTAGTTAGTTAGTTAAAATACATTTCTTGAAGAGAAAAAAAAGAAAAGCATTTATTGTTTGTTTTGCTGTAGGCTTGGTTTTAATAAATGTTCAGATTTTAATACACTTTATATTTTATGTGCATTACATTCTGGGTTTTGGGGTTTTTTTTCAAGGAAAAGGTTTTAAATAGGAGCAGAATTTTTCCCAAGGGGAAAAGAAAAAAACCATCTCATTGACTGGTAATTACTAATTCGCAGGTAATTAACTGAGTAACATAAAAACCTGTTCTTTGTTTTTCCGAACATATATAGCACACATGATCCCAACCTTTTCAACCCCACTACATATCTGGATTGCATCCCTCAGCTTATATCAAGGCACGTTCACAGAAAGAAAACGTAGTCTCTGTATCCAGCCCAACTCCCTTTCCATCTGTGTTGGGAGGCTCCATCTGCAGACTGCTTGTATCAGTTACATCAGTAAGAAGGAAGGACTGAGTAAGAGTTCTACTTAGGAGCAGATGGTGTTCCAACTTCTAAAAAATGCCCCTAAAGTGCTTTAGGAGAGGAGTACCCATTGATCTTTCCTAAAAATACTTTACCAAAGTATTCTGATTCTTTGACTACCTTTAGCTCCTTTGTAGAATTATTGTCTTACTCTCTCTAGTAGGAATTACGTGGGAAAAAATCCCCTCTACAGGCCAAAGTAGAGGTAAATTCTATGTTAAGGATTTCTATATAGACAACACCAGGGATGAATAAGTCAGCCTGACACAAGTTAACTGAAGGCTCACTGATGTAGGTATCTCTGAGAACTCAATTCAAAACTAACGGAAATTATTTTAACAAGTTTATGAATACAGCACCCATTTAAGTAAAACCTTTGCAATCCTGGATACTAAGGTAAGCAGTGTTTTGTCTGAGAAGTACGATATGCACATAATGCATTGCATAGTTAATAAAGAGAAGCCCATCCCACACTTGGAGTGCTGATGCAGGGAGTCTTTACCTGCTCGTGGGCTGGACAAAAGCAGGAGCCCACATAATATGTAAGAATTAAAGAAGTTTCACTCATGAATTATAACTGGATGTCACCCTCAGTAAGCAGAAAATCAGAAGCACTTTACATATTGATGTTTATATTTTGATGACATTTTCATGGGGGTTTGTTTGTGATGAACCTTAGGGTGCCCAGAGCAGTGAAACTCTGAATGCCAAAGGATTACATAGGAGCTGTCTCTGGGTGTTGGGGTGTACTACATACAACAGAGTCATGTATTTACTAAAATAGGTCTGTTTTTCTTGACTAGGCATAGTTCTTTTGAGGAGAAAGTGTTTCATTTTCAGCAGATGTGTCTCATTCTGTTCGGTCTTTCCTGAGAAGATGCACAGCAATGTGACTTAACCATGGGGGATTGAAGAATGATATAGTAAATAGCCAAACACTAGATTCACATGTATTTTTCCAGCTCTTGCTGTGACGTATAGCCAATAACACAGAGAAAAGTAAGGTCTTTGAAAACCTTTTATTGTATAATCTACAGAAGTCTCATGTGTCCACTCTGGATTAGAGTCTCCTAGGCAAACCCTCCAGAAAGGGGCAGGAGAAAGAGAGGGTCTCTCCTAACTGAAAGACAGGGCTTCTGCAGAAGCTGGAACAATCTGTGTGGTATATCCAGACCTGCTCCCCATCTTTTGTAGTTTCCTCGCCCAGCCACAGCTTTGGGCCCTTCCCAGCCCCATGGGGTGAGTGCATTCTCCAACCGACTTATGTAGCCTGTTTTCTGCATAAAGTCTGCTCATCCTCCCCTTCGGTGAGGCCAGGGGATTGGTGATGCTAACCTGGGGGCAAAGAGTGATGTGTGTCAGAGCAGGGATGCTCCCTCAAGTCAGCAGCATAACCTTGCTTGGGGCACACTCTCACCCCAAGTGCTGAACTCAATTTCTTTGAATGTGGTGGGAAAGATATCCGTGGGTTTTGTTATTGTCTGTATGATTAACTCACCAAGAGTGACTGTTCTATGGGTGTCTTAAATAGCTGATTTTGCGCCTTTTTTTGCATCACTTGCTGCTATTTCTGGGAATTCCTCAAGATAAGCAGCTGTCAGCATCTGCCACTGTTGTTCTGATTTACTGTAAACTTGAACTAATGCATGTTCTTACCATGTACTATGCATGATAGCATGTTACACATTTTATTCTCACACTATAATAAATAATGTAAGTTGTGTGCAAACCTAGTTTAAGCAGCTTAAGTAATGCTTTTTCTTTATCTCATATCACGTGTTGCATAAAGCACTTTGCTGGAGCTCTGTAATTGCCATTAGCAGCTGACAGGAAATAAATTGTTGAAACCAGTCAGGAAATATTTAGTAAAATTGGCATTTTTCACTGGAATAGTAGAAATAGTTAAGCTTGCTTTTGTGAACCTGCTTTAGTGCTAACAGTCACAAATCCTATGTTCTAAGTAGATCTCATGTCTGAGTGAAACATTGGGAATTATTTTATTGACACAGATAGTGTCAGGATGTTGGTAGGTGGAGATCACAAATTTTTGACATTTATAGGAGTATCTTCTTAACAGGAATGGCAGAAGATTGACAAAGATGCCTGTAGTTTTTTTCATATTGCTGCTGCTGAAAATAGTATTTCTGAGGATGGCCAGAGGAAAAAAGAAAAGTGAGTTCTCACTACTCTTTTGGCTGTTTATCTATCCCTTCCTCATACATAGACACATGCACAAACATCTACAAAGAAATAGGGTCTAGAGGGAAAGTCTTTTTCCTGATAGTGGCAAGCAAGAACAAGTAGAACTAATTTATATGCTAAATATAGGTTGTAGCACTTGTGAATTCATGTTTATTCTGTATATTTCTGAAGCCTATGTCTGTGTTAGTAAGGAATTGGTTCAGCTGAATCAGACGTGCAGCCTGAAAGTGTTGGTGCTAAGAACCTGATCTCC